TTTTTTTTGTGTCTGTTACCACTTTTTCTCAGCTCTCACCGAACCGATTTCTTTCAATGATACGTCAAAAGATCACAAATCGTATGTAGTCGAAGACATTACCCTCAAAAATTGAAAAAAATTCCCTCGTTCCCCGTAAATAGGGGAAACCTCCGAAAAAATTACAAATTTAAAAATGGCTAATTTTCGAAATTTTTTCAATTTTTTTTACTTAAAAGTGCCATAACTTTTTCAAAAATGAACATATCAATATAATTCTTTTTTATATAGATGTGTAATATCATTACCTTTCGTTTGGTATATTTTTTTTATAAATCTGACCCTTAACCTGCCCACAGGGAGGGATACAAAATGACAACTTTTTTACAAAAAATTAATTTTTTCAATTTAACTTTTGAAAGTGTTCCGGAAGGTCTGACACTTTTATATATATCTTAAATTGAAGCTAATGTAATATACTTTATTATGAAAAAAAAAAAATTTTTGCACTTTGTTTTATCTTCAGGTTGAAAATGGCTACCGAATGCTATTATTGTGTGAAAATTCTCGATTTTATTTTTTACATTTTTAACTTAATAATGCTATAACTTATTAAAAAGTGTATGGTTCAACACAATTTTTTTATGAGAAATAATATTTTTTAATAATCCCTTTTTTTATTCAGGATATTAATAAGAAAATAGCAGATCATGTAGCTTTTGGAATAATCCACCAATTTTTTAAAATTAAACACTATCTAAAGATTTGCATTGAAGCGTTTTTTTTTTATAGTGATTTTAATCACTGTCAGATATCATTATACTTAATCCAATTATGCCACGTCAACACTCTGTCGCGACCCCCCTGTACTGGGTTTTTTTTTAATTTAAATTCCTTTAAAAAATGTTTTATGTAACCGTTCACATAATGTTTAATTTGATTTGAAGAGGGGTGGCTTGTTTCTTTAGTTACATCTATGACTTGTGAAGATTATTAAAGCGTTTAGAGGTTGCATTTTTTTCGATTCCGAG